GCAGGGAGTTAATAAACACAGTCACCCTTTAACTGCATGGAAAGTCTGGTTACCAGCTGGAGCCTGGTTCCCACCCAAATCGCTCACTGTGCTGGTCCTTCTGGATGTGGCCGGGGGCTTGTGATGAGGGTCCCCATGGAGGCAGGATGGATAGCTTCACTGATGGGATGGGGCGGTGCGGCATTTGATTTGCTGTTGAAGCGCAGGGCTGTCCCGCACTCTGATTGGAGTTTCCCAAACGCCAACTCGGTCTTGGTAACCATTGATGGTTGGGTGGTTGATATTGGTCGTGTAAGTAATGTCTTTCTGGGCAGTCTTTAAGGAAATGTCCAGGTTCGCCACAATTGAAACAGCAGCTCATGTTTTCAATCATTTCTGCTGCATAAGCAGTGGATATACTTTCTGCCAGCCCTTTGGCAACCACAAGGGCCACAGTGTTCTTGGTGGAAGTGGAGATGTGCTTGGTGCAGGCTTCAACCATTTGATCAATGGTTGGTTCGGGGTCAAGTGGGAGAGCCCTTAAAACTCCTTTGCATTCTGTATTAGCATTGCCATTGCTATTTTTACCAACAGGTTTTTTTGTGCCTGCAGGCACTCAATTTGTTTTTCGATGGCAAATTTCAACCTGTCTATGTATTTAATGAAAGATTCACTTGCCCCTGTTTGTTGTTGGTGAAGCACTGCATTGGCACTTTATCATCTGGGGTGGTAGAAAGAGGTACCTTCGTAGCGTTTGCAATATCATGGAGAGCTGCCTCAGGCAGGTCTCAGGCTTGATCATGAGGTTTTTGGAAGTCACCTTCCCCTGCCAACTGCTCTAATGTTAAATTTGGTTTATTGGCATCTTTTGAATACACATCTGCCAATTCCTTAAGATGTTTTTTCCACTGTCTTTCCCACAGCATGTATTCCACCGGGGAAAGAAGGCAGTTCATAATGTTTTTGATGTCATGGAGCACCATGACATGGGTGGTGAAGGTGGCTTCCAGTAAATTTTTGAAAAAAATTAGATCCTTGACCATGCTCCTCAGCGGCTTTGCACAGCTCCTGTAACTCCCTATAGTGTAGGGACTCCCATACGTTAATGAGTGATCCTGCCCTATCTTTCCTGTGTACCACAGGAAAGGCTAATATCTTTTTTGACAGGGCTGAGTCTCTGGCCCGAGTGGCTTCCCTTTGGACTTCGGCCCAGTGGTCCTCATACTCATAATCTGAGCACGAGGACAATTGGTCGCATCCTCTGGGGGGGATGGGGGGCACTTAATAACAGCGCGCGGCCGTCTCGAGCAACCGGTAGTTGCTTGCCTTCAAGTGGTTGAAGAAGCCAAGATGGCTTCCTTCCAGTTGCTGTTATTACAACTTCTGGTCCCAGTGTCGCGGGGACCGGGAACGGGAGTGTCATCAGGGGAGGAGCTCAAGTTGGAAGGGGCATGACTGGGGTCTGCGACAGGGAGGAGTTTCCCAGTGGATGGGGAGGAGCCCAATGCAGTTACACCCAACAACACAGTGGGAGGGGAGGAGTAGGGCATGGCAGGAAGAGTAGGGGGTAGAGGTGGGAAAGAGGCCATTTTGGGATGTAAGGGCGGGAAAACCTGGGTGGAAAGGAGACAAGATGGCGGGACTGACCATGAGACTGGAACCATCTTGAGTTTTAATGTTAACCGGGGGGGATGCAACTGTGTAAGTGGGCATGGGGAGGAGGGTAGAGGAAGGGTCTGGGGCAGCATGGCCAGTGCCACCCTGGCAAGGGTAGAGAGGCGGTGGGGGGGTGTCAGGGAGACAGCAGCAACCGTCTGGTGCCTATGTCCACTTGCCGACTGAGCCTCAGATAGGGAAGAAGGGTTAGGGACACTTGAAGAGGTTCACGGGGACGGGGGTTTTAACTGGGGACCCGAAACACCCTCAAAACCTTTTCCTTCCTTCTCAAGTGAACAAATAATAATTTGAAATAAAGGAAAAAACTTTGCAACAGAAAGAACCCCACTTGCTTGAACCGTATATAACTTCCTCCCCACATTATCCCAAAATTCCCCAAATAAACAGAATTGGCATTAACTTTAAAATGTTTGAAAACCCAATGAACAAATCTCTTCAATTCCCCCTTAGAAAACTTAAAATTTCCGACAACAAGGGTACCGACAACCTGGATATAAAAGTCCTTCTCAGGAGGACTTAGCTTAGGCCTACTGAGCTTATTGCCCATCCTGGTCCCTTTCCCCACCCAATGATAAAAGAAGAAAGAAAAGCAAAAAGGCCCCAAAAATATGAAACTCACTATTTTTCTTCAGGCCGATGCCTGCAGGGCCAACGGAAAATCAGTGGGCAGGTGGTCACCTGACAGCCAGTCCTCAAGGGCTCTTCTTCCTTCTCCCCAGATGGTTGGTGAGGGTCCCAGTCATTACCCTTCAGATTGCCCCTTACTAAAATGCAAGGTGTTCTTCTCAGGGTGTGGCAGTCCCAACAGCGGCACGCACCACAGTGAGAACTGCAGGCAGACGCTTCTTCAGAGGCTCTTCGTGTGCTGCACATTGGGCAACACTTGCAACAGTGGGGTGGATGTCAGGGGTGCCACAACCTTCCTGAAAAAGTGTCCTCAGAAGGACGGCTCTCAGTGGCACAGGCACGTCCCTATCCTGGCCCGGCAAGCGGTGACTGGCTCAGCAGCAGCTCCTTCCCAGGTGACGCAGGGAGAAAAAGGACTAGAGCTCTGGCTAGTGATTCCACAGAGAAATCAGCCTTTATTAGAGCAGGCCTCTCTGCAAAGGGGGCTAGCACAGAAGTGCCACTCAACTGGGATAAAAAAAAACAGGGTTTATATAGGGAAGGAGAGGGGTGGGGGAAACTTGGATACAAGTAACAGGATGGAATGGCAGAGAAGAAAACCAATGGGATACAATAAATCAACATATAATTTGCAAGGGTCTCTGGGAGGGACACTTTTCTCACTATGACAGAAAGTGCCTTGCCTATGGAGAAGCTCTCCAGGGTAGCACCACAGTCCTTTTGCTGGCCGATTCTTCAGCCCCCACAACTGGCCAACTCATGAAGGTTATGGGAAAGTAAAATCATGTTTTATAACTTAGACAGTCTCTCATTTTGAAGGAGAGCTTCACATTTTCCATGCAGGTGATTTGCTTGTATCTTCCTCTGAATCCCTGATGCTCAGCAAGTAAGAATCTGCTGCCATTTATTCTCCCCTTCCCCCAAAATTACATGAAATTGGGAGAAATTATTTTCTAGCTGCTTTCCTCTGCCAATGCTCAGGGCAAAAACACTGATTCTGCAAAAACACTGTTTCTGTAAATACACAGAAAGTTGTTGCAAATAGAGCCAGATAATTTGTCTGTTTCCAAGATGAAAATACTGCCTTAGTACATTTTATTTTCCTCTATTATGCCTTGCTAACAAAGAATATTTGCAACCCAACATCAACCCAATTTTGCTAATAAGAATGGAAGGGAATACAGAGGGACAACAATCAGCATTTGAGACTCGTCTCATGGTTCTAAAGGCAGATGAAAACACCAGTGGGAAGAGTTTTCTTCTCACTTCAGTGTGTTTGACTACACTTTATATAGAATATAGCTAAAATATAGCCCTGGGAGGTTTATAGGGGATTGTCCCCACACCTTTTGGGCACCTCTAGGAGCTGCCAGCTCCTGAGAGAAAACAATCTCCTGGAAGCTGGGAGGTTAGGAGAGCTGCTGACCTGGGAATCTCCCTTGCAAGTGTCACCTCCACAGCAGCACTCACAGCAGAAAAGAGGGATATTTATGAATTGGGGTAAGAAGGTCAGACATAGATAGACTTAGAAGACGTAGGAAATCAGGTACAGTGTAAAGACAATCCCAAATTAGAGAAAGAAAATCAGTTCTGCTCAATACAGCTTTAATTTGAAGGCACAAAGCAGGGGGCCTAATGCTGTGCTTTTAATCCTAATGACCAAGGAGGAGACTCAACCCCTTTTTATTTGTATTTACCAGCTCACTGCCCCCAGACAATGAGCCCAACTCTGATGACCCAAACTCCCCCTGAGTTTAGTCCAGCATCTTTTGGCAAAGCTCCTCCTGAGGCCTGGGGGAGTCTGGCCTGATTAAGGCTCAGCATTCAGCCTAAAACCACAAATAATTATCTGTAAGTGCCCAGACTCAATTTCACCAGTCACTGTGTTTATCTGGCTTCCAGGGTCTACAGAGGAAGAAAAGTATGTGAGAAGAACAGGGAGCATCAAGTTTTCCTGTATCAGGTGTATCAGGGATCAGCACTCAGCAGTCAAATATCTTTTCAAGGCCCATTCTGAGGCATAAATCAGTCAGAGCCTTCCATCAGGAATAAAGCAAAGGTGTTACTGGGAACTGTCTGAAACAGAGCTTTTCTTTCAGACACTAAAACCAGACCTGAGAAGATTTATGGTATTACTTTCGGAGAACTCAAACCTTCCCTGTTCACCCTGGAATTTTGGATCACTGTTCCCATAGTGTAACTCAAAGTACAGAGCCTCCTCTTTGCCCAAGCACTAATTCTAACTCAGAATGCTGGGTTGGATGGCATAGAGAAGCAGAAATTGTGTTTTGAGGCTGGCAAGTGCCCTGTAAGGTATTCATGTCAAAGAGAATGCTTTGCTGAATGAGAAATGTGAAGATGAACTATAGAAATAGTGAAGAGAGATTGTTTACAAGGGCCTGTAAGACAAGAAGGATCAGTTCAAACTGACAAAGGGCAGGGTTAGATGGGATATTGGGAAGAAATTCTTCCATGTGAAGGTGGTGAGGCCCTGGCACAGGGTGCCCAGAGAAGCTGTGGCTGCCCCTGGATCCCTGGAAGTGTCCAAAGCCAGGTTAGATGGGGCTTGGAGCCCCCTGGGATAATGAAAGATGTCCCTGCCCATGGCAGGGGGTGGCACTGGATAGGGTTCAAGGTCCTTCCAACCCCAAACATTCTGTGATTCTAGGAAATGATGGACAGCAAACCTTTTCTACACTTTCTGTGTCTGAGTGCAGGTGAGAGAAGCTTATCTGCAGTTCATGATCACCATCGCCAAAATGATAAGGGAAGACAAGAACATGTCCAAAGATGACTCCTTTGTCCAAGAGGAAATGGCAAAGGTCATGGAGTTTGAAACAGAGATTGCAAATGTGAGTAGAGAGATCATCCTGAGTTCCTCAGGAAGCTGTGCGGGGCAAGGGGTGAGGGGGAAGAGTCACTTGCTGGTTTGTGCTGCAGTTCTCAATGCAGCAGAAAACCCACAGCACAGACAAAAGCAGGGGAAGAAGAATTTTTGTGCTATGAGCAGCCCAAAAACCAAAGCCTCTGTGTCTCTAATTCTGCCTGCTGTGTACACTGCTGCTGTGCTGATCCAGTCCCAGATTTATTTCTATTTGGAACTCTTGTAAACAGGACCTTCTGCCAACCACGCACTTGGGATAATACCAGGGCAGGTTCCCTTGCATCTTTTAATTACCTACAGCACCCTAAAAATCCCCCAGAGGAGGCTTCCATTCTAAAGAGGACAGAAGGAACTGCTTGTGTCACTCTATTAGGAACAGTGAGAATGAGCGACACAGACTCTCTAGGAGTCAATCAGGAGAATTTCTCTTAGTTTATTATTTCAGGTCTTTTTCATAGACCGATACGTGGAAAGTACAGAAAAGAAACTCTTATTGGTTAGTAAACTACTACATCACCATCATTGGTCAGTGGGGCACACCACCCCTCGACCTTCTCCTGCAAAGAAAACAAGGAACAGACAAACAGCACCTGCAAGGCTGTTTTCTGTCTCTGAGGATTGTTTTAATTCCTCCTTATGAATTCCCAGTCCACTTTCTCAGGCAAGACTGAGAAAGCTATGTGGCCTGCAGTTTCACATGCTCTCTGTTTGAGAGTTAACATCCATATGCTTGGCTCAACATATCCCTGAAACTTTATTGAACGGGGGGGGACTCAGGTTCCTGTACTGAATTTTTGGAAGCAGCACTGGGCCAAATCAAATTATTTTCCTTTTCCCAAACAAACCAGTTAATCTGAATATTATTGGAGTGTGTATGTGTGCACCTACATGTGACTTCAGCCATTGATATTTCTGTCAGTTGATTCCAGTAATAACCTTGTGAATGTCTTCAGGCCACGACCCCAGCAGAGGAAAGGCACGATGTAACCTTGTTGTACAACAAAATGACCTTAGCAGAGCTGCAGGAAGAGTTTTCATTCAATGTAAGTGTTTCATGAGCAGTCTCATACTTCAGGTCTCTTAATTCCATGCCAGTTGGAAATGGCTTTGTGAATTTATCAGTGCTTCAACAAAGAGGTATAAAATTATTCCCATTCCTAATTTTGTCTTCAGAATATCCTTAAAAGCTTTCTCCTACTGAACAGCTGCATTCAAGGTCATAAGACTGTCAAAAGTCCAGTTACTGAAGTATTTAATCATCCAACATTGGAATGTCTCTATATCTGCCTAGGAATTTAATTGGACCTTCTTCATCCAACGTATCATGTCTTCAGTAAATGTTCAGGTGGATCCAGAGGAAGAGGTGGTTGTGTATGGGATGCCTTATCTACAAGAGCTGAAAGCAATTATCTCCAAGTACTCAGCCAGGTAAAGAAACTGCAGGATAGCTCCGAAAAAAGTCACAGGATTGCTGAAATGTCAGTTATTGGACCCCTTACTAGTTCTGAGCTTTTGAGGAAAACTGGCACGCCTATAAAATACAGGAAATGCCTTTGGAAATTTCAAAGTCCAAATACTGCAGTACAAGGTGTCTCGCTGCTTGCTTAGAAAAGATTCAATGGGAAGAAAAAAATACATGACAGGCTTAGCTCTTGTTACATTCTAGAAGGAAGAAAAATAAGAAAATAATCCCAGAACAGACATGAGACCAGCTCTCAGGCTGGATGACTCTGCAGTTCAATGAGATGCTGTAAAACCCAGGACTTGCAGCAATTATTTCCTTCCTTGTTTCCACCCAAAACTGAGATTCCCCTCTGACTGCCTGCACTAGTGCTGGTTTTTACAGGGGATTAAGCTCAGCTTTGCTTTCCCACACAGCACCATCCAGAACTACCTCATCTGGCGGCTGGTGATCGACAGGATCAGCAGCTTGAGCCGGCGCTTCAAGGATGCTCGGGCCAGCTACAGGAAGGTATTTCCTCTCTTCAAAAACAGGAGAGCACAGCTGCCACCAAATCCAATTGTGTCAACACAATTACACTGTGAGGGGTTTGGAAAGAGATGAACTTTAAGCTCCCTCCCAGCCCAAACCATTCTAGATTCTGTGATTACATCATGGAATCCTCAAACAAACCCAATCCCAGCAGTGGAAACCTTTGTGTTAATTTAGGCAATGGTTTGGAAGAGCTGCAGGGGCAGGGTTAATGCTGGGCTCTGGTGCTGCAGGCCCTGTACGGGACGACCCTGGAGGAGGCGCGCTGGAGGGAGTGCGTGAGCTATGTCAACAACAACATGGAGAACGCGGTGGGAGCAATGTATGTCCGGGAGACTTTTGCTGGTGAGAGCAAGAGGATGGTATGTAGTTTACCCTTCATACTACTGTACATCCACAATGCCTATTCCCCCTGGTGTGAGCTCCCTATTTTTTGCCTGAGAGAGTTATCCACCAGTCAAGAAGGTGAAAGAACTCGTTTGTGATGCTCTTTTAGATGTTCAGTACCGTGGTTTAGAGTGCAGAATTTGGATACATCACCTTCCATCAGGAAGGTTTTCACCTCCTTAGCTGTGCCTGGGAATAGGGCATGTGAATGATGAGCGTCTTCCTGGATCTCTTTCAGGTCCGAGATTTAATAGAGAAGATCCGTGAAGTGTTTGTAGAGACTTTGGATGAGCTACAGTGGATGGATAAGGCATCCAAGGAGAAAGCTCGTGAAAAGGTCAGAGATAAAAAAGAACTTCAGTATTGCCTAATGAACATGAAATATTTGGAATTATGTAGTATCGCCATTTCCAGTTTCTCCACAAACAAGAGGAAAATAGGACATTATTATCCTGTTCCATTGTTCTTTCCTTTCAATCCTTTGTTTTCCCAAAACAATAAGAATGCCAACTGGATACAATGCAATTCCCCCCCCCAAAAAAACATTTCCAACATTTAATTGACCCCAGGACCATCAGCACCAACCCAAAGCCAAGAAAAAATCCAAACATTTAACTATTCTTTGTATCAAAATTTTAGTAAAAACAACCAAACAACAACACTTCAAAAAAAAAAAACAAACCACAATTAAGAGGAAATACTCAACTCTTTTCTTCCAGGCAATGGCAATCAAAGAACAAATTGGCTACCCAGATTATATTTTGGAAGATCAGAATGAGAAACTGGACCTGGAATATGCCAATGTAAGTGTTTTGTGCACATCTCACTAAATACCTCAAAATAAACACCTGCATTTGCTTTATTTCCACTGGAATATCTGTACCTGTGCAACTGTCCTTTCCAAGGACATTAAAATTAATCTATTAATAAATAATTTGTACAAAGAACAAACTGTTCAGTGAAACCATGCAACCAAAACATTCTTTAGAGGATGTTCAGTGGGATGTGGAGTTCCTCTTCCTGCTCAGCTGACCAATGTACTTGGATCCCTATTTGTGTAGTTAAACTTCAGTGAACACAACTACTTTGAAAACATCCTGGAAAACCTGCGAGCTGGAGCTCAAAAGAGCCTGAAAAAGCTTCGAGAGAGAGTTGACCAAGATATGTGAGTTTTCAGACAGAGTCACAGACAAAATCTAAATTCTATGTTAATGGTGGGGGCGTTTAACTCATGTTGTGGGTACCTGGGAGTACCTGTGGCTGAGATAATCAAGGAATTAGAGACAGAAGTCAAGTGAGAAGTGCTTTTCCCTTTGAGTGTTGTGTGTTTGGAATGAAAGCTGCCCATAAACAAGCTACCATTTCCTGGCATCAGCTGTGATCAATGCACCCCTTTCCCTACATAAATCTTTTCTTTATATGATCTCCTTATAAGGATTTTCCTTCTTGTTACAAGGTTCTTCCTTCTCCTAACAAGAAAATTATATTTCTTTATGTATCTATACATACATTCTTGATAATATATGTATATATTACACATATATATTACATATATACATATATATGTATACATGCATATATATTTTTACATTTATATTTATATATATATATATATATATATATAAATAATCCCTGAAAATATTATATCCTTATGATCCTTTCCTATATACCATGCATTTTTTAAACCAGACTTAAATTTCAAAAAAGTTTGGGGAAAAAAACCCATCATAACTAACTGTGTGCAACATTTATTTTTAGATGGATAATTGGAGCTGCAGTGGTCAATGCATTCTATTCCCCCAACAGGAACCAGATAGGTAGGTTTAAACACTTTTAATCAGCTAATTTTATCCACACAACAGTACAGGTCTGCATCCAGAGGTAAACCTGCCTGTGCCCATCCAGGAATTCTGGGCAAGGCTGCCAGGCTGTTCACCTCAAGCACTTTGTTGTTGAATATTGAGTTCCCCCTCCTTAGCAGGTGTAGTTTGTACCCTGACACTGAACAGCCTTGGGTTTGAAAGCCTGGGATAGCACCAGTGCCAGGGCCCAGAGAATGCTCCCAGTGTGTCCTGGGCTGCTCCTACTCTTACATTCTGACAGCACATGGGGCAGCTCTCCAGTTTGTTCTATGCACATGGCATTGGAATTACACTAAGAGCCACCCCAGACTGCAAAAAGTGCCTCTGCTCCCAGAGCATCAGCTGTGTGAGTTCTGCAGAGCTGCTGGGCTGCCCTTCCTTTTTCTTAGCACAGGAGACCTTCAGACCCTGCCTAGCTCCCTGTGCTCCCTGAGCTCAGACTTCATGCAGGAGCTCAGGTTAAAACTGCTGAGTCTCTGCTGAATTCAGAGCATCCCCAGCAGGAGACACAATAGATAATTCCCTCCAGAAGTGCTTATTCAAATTCCCAGACTTCCAAGAAGATCTGCTACTCAGCTACTGGTACCACAGAAGAACAAATCCATAGGGTCTTAGGCCAGACAGTAACTGCATCCTGCTCCCAGAGCAAAGACCAGGAGTGGAAACAACCAAATCTACCAACATTCACAACAGAAAACTTCTATAATTGCTAAAAGCAGAAACATCTAAATTGATGATAATTTAGCCCTCTGACCTCACCCAAAACCTGTTTTCCTTTGTGCAGCTTCTGCTCACCTCCATCCTGCAGGTACAGCAGCACCAGGACCTTCAGCCACAGCAGGGCCCTCCTGGGGGCTTTACTGGTGGCCCAACCCCAGCTCCCAGTTTATCTCCAGTGGTTTTACACAGATTGAAATCAGCTTTCCAGGCAGGGAACTCAGGTCCTAAAGCCACCTGATTCCTCTACAGTTTTGCCTTTATAAATCATACAGAAGTAACTAATCTATGCAACTTGGAGATGAATATGCCTGTATAAAAATCCAAGCACAACCACCCACAATAGTGTGCATGTCAGTTAAATTTTGTTTCTTCATGTCTGTAGCTTGAGAAAACAATTTTCCACACTGCTTTGTCTTACTGAAGTCTGGCTTATGCATTTCTTCACTAAATTGTATAGATAAAACCTGTGTAGCCAAAAAGGCTTTGTCTCCGAATTAACTACTTGCAACATAATTTCAATATCTCCCTTCATAGAAATATCTCATTGGAGTGAACTACTGCCAGTCTGAATTCTTCTAGAAGCATTTATGCTTTTCAGCTTGTGTAGAAGGGGTGAAAAGCAAATCCCATGGTTCTGGATAAGGTTTTTGCCAGCAGACTGAGGCAGAACAGATCTCACATTGTCCTCCGAAACTAGCATCGAGTGCCCTTGGTGGTCTGTAGGAATCACTCCTGTGCATGTTTTACACTCCAATTATTAGTGGTATCAGCAGATGATTTCTAACCGCTCCTTAACCCAAATAAAAGCATTAAAACTTCAATTAGTTCCCCTATAAAATGGCTCTGGCACACTAACTGCCTGTCTCCAAAGGATAGCTCCTAAACATTCTGCTCTTGACTCACTACAGCAAACATGGACCAAATTAGGCTAAGCTTAATATAAATGCTGCTTCAGTCTCAAACAGGGAGATATGGTAGCTGCAGATGCACTAAATTAAACCTTTATTAACTTGTCATTTTCCATTTTTCAACAAAGAAACAATTTCACATGAGGCATGAGCTTGTTTCTAATCATTTTATATTTTCTGTTCCTTCCTGACCCTTACACCAAGCAAACAATCTGTCTGCCAAGGATGCAAAAACAAAGCCACCTTATAGCATTTCCCTCTTTCTCCCTGTCTTTGCAGTTTTTCCTGCTGGGATTCTCCAGCCCCCCTTCTTCAGCAAACACCAGCCCCAGGCCCTGAACTTTGGAGGGATTGGGATGGTTATTGGGCATGAGATCACTCACGGGTTTGATGACAACGGTGAGGAGATGACTGAAAAAATGTTATATTTCAGCTAAAACTCATGGCATGGCAGGAATTAAAATGCACTGGGACTGAAGATCCCTGCACAGTCACATCCACCTCAGCAGCAATAGAAGCAGACTGGGAACACTCTCTGGAAGATTTTGCAGGGAATGTTTCCTGAAAAGAGGACAAGAAATAAGCAGAGGTTAAAAATAAAATTAAGGCAATGACAATTCTCAGGAAAACAATGTTATTGTTACAGTATCATCAGATCAGAAACACAAAGCAAGCAGATCCATGGCCTCCTGAATACAGTGAAATATGTGAACAACATTTTTGGGATAGAACAAATGTCAGTAATGTCTTGAAATCCCCAAAGACTTTGTTTTGCAGCACAAATGCTTGAAATAAATTGACTTTTTTAACTTTCTCAAATGCCATGTAAAAGAATTTTGGGGAAAAGCTCACTTCTGACTCTACTAGTCAGGAGTTTCTTCCACATAGGTTTTTTTCAAGCTGTTTCTTTTATGCTCATTAAGTTAGTGCCAATGACACATAAACACACAACACAGCATCAGAAACTAAGTTCTAGAGCAAATAAAAGCCTTGTTCTGGCCAGAGGGCTAAGAACACAAACTTGAACTGTGATTCCAGCTTTTGATTCTCTATAAACCTCAGTTCTGTCATGTGGCTACATAGAACCAGCACCTCAGACACCTCAGAGGTGGTAAAGTTTTGTTACACAGTATCTGCAAAATCCACTTGGAAATAAAACCAGGCCTTGGAGCTATACCTGAAGTCAAGGCTGCTGACAAAACAGGAAATCAAGGAATAACAAAGACCACAATTCCATTCCCTTGTGACAAAGAGAATAAACTATGCCCAAAATATTTCTGAGCATCTAAATTCAAGGAGGAAAGAAAAGGGAGTGCAGCTCCAACATCTCGGGTGCTACACTGGAAGAGTGGCAGCTTTAAAATCTTGCTCAAAACCTTCTTTTTATCCCTGCAGGTAGGAATTTTGACAAAGATGGGAACATGCTGGACTGGTGGAGCAACTTCTCAGCCCTGCATTTCAAGGAGCAGTCCCTGTGCATGGTGCACCAGTATGGGAACTACACCTGGGAGCTGGCTGGGGGACAGAATGTGAGTAACAACCACAACAACCACGGCCACAGCTCTGGATTGGTACAAATAATGACTTTAACAGGGGATCCCTATGGGGGATAAGCACAAACCACAGCTACTACAGGTAACTGCTCTGGGAACAAGGCACAAGGCTTGTGATAAACTGGGGACATTGGTGTGGCCCAGAAAGCTCAGGGTCTGTGTGCAGTGATGTTCTGCCCAGCAGCAGCCCAAATTCTGTCCATGTTATGTTTGTACACACACAGAACAGAACACACTTCTGTTCCGAACACACTTCTGTTCCAATGTGCTACAGCTCGCACCCTTGTAACCCTCGTAACAATGTCTGTTACAGCTCATGCCCTATGATTTGTTTAATTTCATTCCTTTCTTGTCCCAGCACAAAGTCACAGCTTCCCTTTGCTCCAGGCATGTCAGGCTGTTGTGTGACCGACCTGTGGTTCTTAGAGTTCCTGATTTTACTGACAACAGAGTAAATAAATGATTATTTTTATAGGTCAGTGGCATAAGCACCTTAGGAGAAAATATTGCAGATAACGGAGGAGTCCGACAGGCTTATAAGGTAATCTTCAAGCACCCTGTGAGTTAATTTTACCTGGCACCCAGGAATGGGGGGGCTATTCTGTGGTAAAAAAAATTACAATTAACATGTTATTACCATATTCCAGAAGCTAAAGCCTCATTGTACACCTGGAAGCTCATGTACCCATGGCTTGCTGCCATTCTTGCACCCAGGAGCAGCCCAAAGGTGGAGCTCAGGTGTGAGCAGGGAATGTTCTTCCCTACAAAGAACCCTAACAGATGTCACAGCAAAACCTTTTATCTATGGTGTTTTGAGTATGGTAGTAAGGGTGTTTATATAACATCCTGAATTTTCAGAAATCTGAATTCCAACCCTAAGGGACACCATTCCAATTAATTACTTCATGAGGATTGTTCTAAAAGCCATTACAGATGAGGAGGAACAATGTGGGGTGACACAAACTGCCTGGATGTTCTGTGATACTGGATCTCTTTTTACCCTCACCTCTCCCTTTTGTTTCATGCTTTGGGACTGTCTCAGCACCTGAGAGGCTGCAGAAACAGAATGCTGGGAATTAACTAGCATGAGGGCACATTAACCTGTCTCCATCATGTCACTATACCTAAAAAAAGCAAATCGGCCAATTAATGTGTAAAAATAACAGGTAGTGGATTTAACATTGAGCAAGGCTGTTAACTGCTTTTTAATGAGCAGTTGCCTGAAGAGAGGAAAATTATCATTCTAGAGAAGCAGAGGAGACTTAACACTTTATTTCCAGATACAAATTCCTGTAGAAAGTGTTTATGAAGTCAACAGTGCTTATGCTGACAGCTTCTTCATAAAATTCTCTCTACTGTTTGTATTAGAGAGAGAAAATTTATGCAAATACAGAAGGGAAGCGCACTGGTAAATGCAGGTGGTACTAAAATCCTTCCTCCCAAAACAACATTCAAAATCCTCCTGCTGCTCCTCTAAGCTGATCTGTGATCATTTCCAGGCCTACTTGAAGTGGCTGGAACAGGAAGGGAAGGAGCCAAAGCTGCCTGGACTGAACCTGTCCCACAAACAGCTTTTCTTCCTCAACTTCGCCCAGGTGAGAACACACAGGGTTGTGCCTCAGGCCCTTGGACTTTCTTGGAGGAAACACATGGATGAAGTCAAGTGCAGATAGATCTGTCCCAGAGCACCAGATCTTGATCCAAGACCTTGATAAAACAAAAGCTAAGTAGTAAATAATTGCATCTATTCTGCCTCTCTATAAAATACACCCCAACGACATCATACAAATGTGATGGCTTTTAAGAAAGCCAGTGAGAAGGTTCCCAACATGAATTCCCTGCAATACTGACCTACTAATGATGAATCTCCCTGTCCAGGTTTGGTGTGGTTCCTACAGACCAGAATATGCCAGTCAGTCCATAAAGACAGACGTTCACAGCCCTCTGAAATACAGGTGGGTTTTACTCATTTACTGACTCACAACTCACTTCATTCAATCCCTTGCACCACGACAGCAAAGAAGAGTCTGACAACACACAAGATAATGCCAGACTGACTTCCAGATTTTCTGCTATAGCTTGTAGGACACTGCTGGAATGCACGTACCTATTCCTGACTTGGTGAATTTGCCATTCCATAGGGGATGGAGGAGGACCAAACCCACTTTGTTCTGCTATTTCATTGCTCATATTACCTACGTTTCCTAAAGTATCCCGTATTCTGAACTGTAATCAAGTTCTGAGGCTCCAATCCACTTTCTGTTCCCCAGAACAGCAATTTCTATGTAAATGAGTCCCTTCTTTTTGTTTAGGGTGATGGGCTCGTTGCAGAACTTTGAAGCCTTCTCCGAGGTGTTCCACTGTAAGAAGGGCACAGCCATGCATCCTGCAGGGAAGTGCCGGGTGTGGTAATCAGGGATGGGACACTCTGGTGACACCACAAACAGCTCATGGCAGGAATGTGCTCGGTGTTCTGCTGCTCAGCCACTGCCAGGGCAGCTGCTGCAGTGAGAGCCAAGGAAGCACTCAGCTCTCCCAGTGCCACTGGGAAGCACACAGGGATCACAGGGATCACGGGAATGGATCCCGGGATTGGCAGTCTGTACCAGAGGCCACGCTGTGTTCCTGGGCACAACAACTGTTTCCAATGACATCCTGACTGTTACTAAGACACTGCATCAGGGTTACAAGGACTAACTCTTACACGAAAACAAAACCAACAAGCAGCCACATATCTATCTTTCAGAAAGGAGTAATAATTTTAATATGTCAGCTCCACTTCCTTAGGCTCAGCAATGCTAAGATGTTCCACTGCTCCATTTCCAGTGTTCTGATTCTGTTTCTGGTGCATTCTTCCCCAGATCAGGTTAGAGCTGGTGTAAACTCTCGTGCTGTCTGTGCCTCTGCACTTCAATCACTGCTTTGTTGTCATGGATTGCTATTGTTGTGACATGTCACACAGTGAGCTCTATGTCAAGATGCCTGTCACAATCTCCTCCTGCACTTGAGTTCCTCTAGTTCAAAGAACCCTCTTCAAGTGAGGCATCACTACAGTTATCATATTTTAGGAGTAACAAATTCTGTCTTTATGGTTTAATTACAGCATCCTACCCTTCAGAGGTACATTTAAAATTATGCTTATTCTTGTAGAAAGTGTATAAATTTTGCCAAATCACAGACATGCATCCATGGAAACAATTAAGCTGGTTTTAACCCTGTGCTTTTTCATTTTTGTCATAGGCTATTTTTCAGTATTTACACTTGAAAATGTAACATGTATTAATTTTTAATAAAATTTAAAAGAAAAAAATAATGGTGGCAAATTCAGCAAGGATTTCCCTGTGGAGAGGTATGGCGGGCTTTCCTTAGTAAGCATCCTAAATTTAAAATATTTCCAGCATTAAATAGTGAATCTTCAATATTATTCCAGCAATTTTATTTTTTTTCTAGCACAGGAATCATTTGACAGCAAGGCAGCAACTGACTGTGTGACTCTGCAAAATCACTGAGCCCTGGAGATGGGCCATTAAAGGTTCTGGCACTTTCAGCTGTTAAAGGGATAATTAAAATGTACCTAGGAGGGTTAATGCCAAATAACCATCACAGCACATGGAAGTTATTCTATTTTTTTCGTGTAAGTTCATCCCATCTCCCACCTGCAGGACACTTTCCAGCTGCCAGTTTGTGTCAGCACCAAGTGCATAAGTTCCAACCTCCCCTTACAGCCCCCGATCATGGTGCTGTGCCTACACACAAACTGGAGATAAGAGACAGGCTCCAAATCCCCAGGAAATGGCCCTGAATTCCTACTGACCACTGTCTTACCTTTCCACAATCATAAAACGCTTCATGCCTGTGGGAAGTTCTGTACCAGAAGTGTTTTGCTGCACTTTAGATTCGGAGACACTGAAGCCTCAGAGAAGCTTTACTACGTACTTAGGAAAAGAAGGAAGATCCTGATGTTTCCGAGAAGGAATCCTAAGCCTTTCCTTCTCCTACGCTGCCACCTGGTGACAAATCCCACTCCAGCTCCTAAAAGACCAAAACTCATATCCAACAGGAGCAACCTTCAGACTCCATCAAACTACAGTTGGTGCAGACATCAAACCCTGCAAAAAAAATAATTTTTTAGTTGGTAGATTGCTGATCCTGGTTGATGCTGCACCTCTCTCCCTGACTGTGCAAAGCTCCCAGCTCACTTACAGCAGCTTCCACCTGGAAGTGAGATCACTGGAAGTCATAATTATGGGGCTGAAAGACAGGTATTTCTTTACATAAACATCTTTGGAGAAACTGCTGCCTACAAATTAATAAATCTCTCCTCCTAATTACAACACTTACTGAACAACAGTAATATTTAACTCCTTTCCGTCCTTAAGAGCTGCTTTCATCTCTGTTTATTTAAAAGTTCACCCCAGTAAAACAGTAACACTGAGTATCTCAAGATCCAGTTGCCTTCAACAACAAGTCCTTAGCAGATTAAAAAAAAGTCCAAAACAGAATTTACCTGAAAACTGTTGCAGCACAGAGATTGCTGAAGGTACCTTGTCACTGTTCTCTGAATTTTCTCCATTTCGGGGTTTGGTTTTATCTTGAAAGTTTTTCACTCAACAATTATAGCGACCCCACCTGAGAGTTGTGGAGGGATGAACACTGGTTGACATTTAGCAACTTCCACAGTTGGGGGTGTTGGAAAACATCCAACCCCCCCAATGAAAAATTAACCAGCTACCAAGAAAAATAATGGGCAAAACAAAATTGTATTTTCCCATTTTCTGTCTTTACTGGTCACTGTGACACAGTCAGGAAGCCAGACCAGCCACAAAAGCAGCAAGCACAACACCAGCAGTGAATTTGCTGGGTGGTCATGGTATTTTCAGAAAGAAATGTCAGAAAATGCTTTACTGACTTGACACTTATTTGATGACCAAAAGCAAACCCAGTTGTCAGCAGACAGGCAATCAGCCTCTTTTTAGCTTCAGATCCTTCCCAAACTTTGGAATTGTGGCACTCCTTTTTGTACAAAAAGAGCTGGTGGTGACAGAAACTGGAGGCAGTTCACCCTTCCAAGATTACTGCAATGCACAGGTTTTCAGAAAATGAGAATGGGACTCAAATATTTTCAAATATTTGCACTTGAAAACCAAATCCCACCCTAAAAATCACAATGTTTTTATTCTTCGGACTCTAACAGAATGTGTTTCTTTATGGACAGATCTGCCCGTGTGCAGCAGAGATTTTTAAAGTTATTTTATAGCATTCCCTAAACCCTTCCACTTCCCATTGTCTGTATCTTTGGACCTATCAGAGCTGTGATTTTGCACAGCCATTCTTATAAACCAGAGAGGTTCTGAAACATCACCTTACTCTCCAAAAACACCCAGAACTAATTCTGCTAAAAAAACTAACACCGTTTAAAAAAAAAAAATAAAAAAATAAAAAAATAAGAACTTGTCTATAGTATTTTCCTTAAGGAAAAAGACAACATTTCCCATTTTTTCCATTCCTCATGGTCATATGGATGTCACCTCCCAGATGTCCCAGCACACCCATCCAGGACCTTCTCTGGATTCACATTTTATTTCATAGACAATTCTGCTAATTAAAGCATTTCTACCCTCACCAAATCCTTCCTTAAAAAACATTCACAGGGATGCTCTTCTGTGGACAGGATTTCTGAGCCTGAGAGAGTTTCAGCCTGTCAGGGGCTCATCTGTTCCCAGGGAATAGTTCCTGGGAACAGTTTCTCTCCAGAACTGTGTTATGGTAAAGAGATACTATTTCCCAAAACAATATTGAGCAGATGTCCTTGGTGTGTTTTCTCTGGTCCCACCAATGGGTGTTGTTCTTTCCACCAATCGGAGTAACCTGGTTGGAAAAGCTATATAAAGTTAGAAAACCTAGCAATAAAAAGGCTTTTGCCTGATGAAAGCGGCTGCGCTGTGGATGATTTCTAGAGACCCTCGCTCAATACTTCGTGTCCTCTAGCGACATCTGGTGGCCCAACGTGAGTTCAGCATAGGCACCACGACTGGAGAAGGTAGTAGTCTTGCATCCCTTCTCCCACCCACCTGCCCGGGAAAACTGAGTTTTTTCAGTTGAGACTGTGGGCTTTTTGCCTGCCGTTTTTCTTTTTGCTGGAGACGTTTTCCCAGTGAGCTGACAGCATGATAATCATGGTGTTAGCTTGTGAGGAAGAGCTTGTGTTAGAGCTTTGGTTTGATATCCTGCACAGGCATGATTTGGACATTCCTGAAACAGATATTAATACTTTGTATTTATGGGGGAAGGAACATGGATTTTTTCCAACTGCTGTGGATGCACTGCTGAAGGACCACTGGCAAAGCGTAGGTGATGCATTGTATCAGCTGGTGCTGTCTAGCGGTGGGGAAGAGGCAAAACTCCTCCTCCGGTGGAAAAAATTAACGAATGTGATAGAAACCGCGAGCTCCAAAGTGTCTTCTTGAGACACCTCAGACACAGGCTCTGACAGAGGAGACTGGTCTGATCCGGAAGACATTCTCCTGGACCGTGACACACGGGAAACTGCAGAGGAGGTGGTCCAGGGCTGTTAAGACGTGTAATAAATGGAATTGATTCATGCCAACTAAATTATAACTATTTGGAAATTTATTATTAGAAGCAATCAAAAGAATCAATGTTACAAGGCAGATGTACCCTTTTACAGATGTTACATGTTAAAATTGAGTTACAGGATGTAGTTTGGAAGATAAGTGATGTCTCAAGATGAAAACGGCCTTGAGATGGACAAAATTAGAATGGCTTTAGGCATGAGGCCTAAAAAATCAGTAAATATAAGACTGATTAGTAGGTTTACATAACACAACCCTCAGTACACACATGCACACCTGTAAGGTTATCCAAAAGACAATAAGGAAGAAGAGAAACCTTTGCCAAAAGACCCCCCCCAAAAGAAGACTGAAGACCCCCTAACAACAAGTGAGGCATGCACCGTGAAGAATAGTGATGTGAAGTCAGAAAAATCAGAAATAGGAGGAAACTTACAGGAAACGTTAATGAATATGTATAAGAATACAGTATGTAAGTTGACTTGAAGTGTTTTGTTTTGTACATGAGGCAGGGTGGGAAGCCTCCCTGGTCAGTTTTTGTACATGAGGTGGGGTGATAACCCCTCCCGTACCCTGGTCGGTTTTGCTTATGCTTTAATCATACTTAATTACTGGCAAATTATTTATATAAATTGTAATTTTTACTAAATTGTATTTTTTTATTAAATTGCATTCTTTTACATCAAATTACTATTCAAGTCACTAAATTGTATTTTTATTTTTAATTAAACTGTTATTAACTCAAGGGACCTAGTTGTCAAAATTCTTATTTCATTTATAATAGAAGGGATCTTTTCCCCAGCTCTTGCAGTGTGTTTCTTGTTAATGGTATGTTCGGTTATTACCGAAGTTGATGGTTTGGTCCAAATGAGACCCTCCCACCCCATGTTGTCAATCTACTCCGAGTCTCCTGCCAATCTGTCTTAAACCCACCGCATGTTTGGAATTCCACTTTGGAAATCCCCTAAACTTCGACGCTTGATTAGTGCATGTGACCCAACTTTCCCCCCCTACCTCCCTCATTGGATGATGATTTTGTGAACCCTGCCTTTTACCCTCCCCAGGATATCTCTGATTAGCTGATGCTTTGTACCCTCCTTTTGAACCGCCTCCCTATTTCAGCTGTTGCACGCTCACATTTTTTGTCTTTTGCCCCCAGTATTCCCCAGAGCAATAAATCCTCTGTTATCCCATGCAAAAGACCTCCCTCTCATCCTTGTCTCCTCAGAGGGCAGACTGACAGACAAAAAGCCATAGAGTGAGTACGCTAGTCACATCTCGGGTCATCCTGCTTCTGGGGTGTTGTCACTCTGTTGGGAACGGCAAGAAGAACGACACAGACTCTCTTGTGTGTTGAACAGGAGAGCAAAGTTTATTATTCTTGATCTTCTTTTATAGACATGTTTGAGAAAGTCCAAGAGGTAAAACTCTCATTGGTCATTAAAGCAACACATCTACCGTCATCAGTTAAGTGTAACATCACCCCTTGACTGTTTTCCTAAACACCACCTGCAAAGATTGTTGTCCTTTACCAAGGACTGTTTGGATTCTTTCTCATGCTTTCTCAGGCCACAATGAGAAGCCTGTGACTTGGTTTCACACAGGCTCTGTTCCCTTCTTGCATATAGCATCCACAGGGTGTGACCCACTCCTGGCGCAGGTCGAAGTGATAGAGCCAGATAAGCTCCGGCGAGATGCGATACCCAGCCCTATCCCTTAGTGGCTTGAGTCCGGGGGTGGGTGCCCTTTATTCCGAGTCCCCCAGGGCGAGTGACCACGGGGAGGGAGATGCGGGAGTTTCAGACTGCGGCGGCCCCTCCCGCCCGCTACGCGGGAGTCGCCCCGCCCGGGGCTCGGGACACCGCAGGAAGAAGGGGAACAAAGCATTCGTCTGGCATGTCCCGCAGTGCAGGGGGCAAAACAGCGCCCCCCCGCCCCGGCCGGCGGCGCCGACGGAGGTGTTTGGACCCGTCTCCGTGGTGTGTATGAATTGCGGAGTGGCGGCACTAATTCCCTTCCCACAGCCAGACGCCGCGGGCGGAGGAACAGGTCCCGTCCACTCCGCAGGGCCCCAGTGGGAGCGGCCGCCCTGGGCGTGCCCCGGCTCCGGCCGGCGCCATTGGTCCGCTGATAGATTTAGCGACCGAACAGGACGGGTTCGGCCAAGCTCTCGGCACGGCCGGTGGCGCGAACTTCGCCATCGCCGCGATCGCGGGTAGTGGTTCCGGCGGCTCCATGCCACGAGCATGCCCTGACTCGGCCTCCTCCACTGCGAAAACCCGTGAATCCCCCCCCGCCTTGGGTGGGGGCAGACAGCTCCCTCGCCGCGGCGGGGCACACAAGCGGAGCGAGCCACGGCGGGGAGCTGCGCCACCTCCCGAGCCAGCGCGGACATGGCGGGGACTGCGATAGCTGGCGCCGCCCACGGAGGTGGTGCCACGGCTTCTGAGAACCCTGCCGGGACCGTGTCGGTGCTGGGAACGGCGCCAAGTGGGGACAGGGGTGCCTCTCGGACGACACCGCCTTCTACCCCCGGCGGGCAAGTCACGCCTGCCGGGCCGGTTTCGGGGCCGGCAGGGAACGTCTCCCTGGCTGCCGCCGGTGCCGGGGCAGTAGCAAACGAGTCTCCCTTGTTTACCATAGGGACTCGCAGTGACTCTGGATTTTCAGGGCGAGTGTCTGCTCGGAGTGGAGGACACAGAGAAGGCCCCCACTCGAGTACTCACTGGACTCTTCCCCCTTGCCAAGTCACAGTACACCAGATCCCAGGAGGTTTTGGGACGAGGTCAAAGAAAAAGCCATGGAAATGGGAGACTGGGAACTTCCGGAAAGATTCAGGGGAATTGGAGATAGTTTCCTTGATTTTTCAGATTCTGCCAGGAATAGACAGTCTGGTACAGGAGAGGCAAGCTCCAGCTGGGCGCCTGTCTCTGCTCCTGTGATGGCTAAGGGGCAGGATCACAGAGATGCTGTGACCTCGCAGGGAGGTCTTCAGGTTTTCCCTGTAATTAAGGGAAATCCTGGAACAGGACTGCCCAACACACACCAAGTCCTGTCCACAAAAACTGATGGGTATTAGGGACAAGGTTGCCACAGTATGGCTTGGGGTTTCAGGAGGTAATACAGATGATTCATGTTATTAATTCTGAGCCACTGGTACCATATGACATTAGGCACCTTGTTCAGGTGTTGTTTCAGCCTGTTAAATTTGAGGTCTTTGAAGCCAATTGGAGTAAGTTGGCCACAAAAGTAGCCAGACAAAATAATCAATTGCCTCAACAGGACACTAGATAAGGAGTTGGACCTGATCTGTCGACAGGGATTGGGAATTTTTCTAACCCTGATTTCCAGGTTACGTTCCACCCGCTGATGTTAGATCGGTGCCAAAAGACTGGCTTTGCAGCTCTGATGAAAATAATTGAGCTGTCTGCTCCAAAGCAAAAGTTTGCTACCATAGTCCAAGAGGCTAAGGAGTCATATATGCAGTTTGTTGAGAAACTCTGCATCTTTGGAGAAGCAGACGGATGACCTGGAATTGAGGCGGCTACTGCTTACACAGTTGGCAAGAAGCAATGTCAACGCTGACTATAGGAGCATAATAGAGGCCCTCCCAGGTGATCCATCTATAGCACAGATGGCTCAGGCTTGTGCAAGCATAGGCACCTCAGATTGCAAGATAGCTGCCTTGGTTACTGCCTTACCAGCATCCTCAAAATGGCCAAAAGGTAAGCAGCAGAAGCAGGAGACAGCACAAGCCACCAAGAAGCAGGGGAAACAGAAGGAGAAAGGGAAAGCTCCCTCCTTTCTGTATGCTTGGTGTGGAAAGC